GGCATAGGTCACTTGCTGTTTGACTTAAAATAAGTGACAGAATCTCCATAACTTGCATTTCAAAATCAATATTTCAGGATTTCAGTAACCCAGCCAGAAGTTATAGGCCTTTTGATGGAGGGGATGGTTGAGGTTCTGTGGCCTACAATGTCCAAGAGATCAGACTGGATGATAATGATGGTCCATTTTGGCCTTAGAATCTATGAGAATAGATGTAGGCACAAGCCATCTCATAGACTGAAATCACCCTCGTGCACAGGACCAGCACATGGCACTAAATTCCTAGTCCTCTGCACTGAATTGAATTTCAGCCAGAGGGACTCACTTTTCCAGGGTCCCACATGCATGAACCTAAGCCATGGCACAATGAGCAGCAAAACTAGCTACACAGCCCGCTTTCTCTGATAACTCTTCTTCCTTTTAACTTGTCCTTGTCTTATGCTGGTGGTAGATGCAATTCTTATACGACCTATTGGTTATAGTGGGTTGTGCTTGTGACATTACACCCCATATTCTTCATAGAAATAGTTTTATGATATGAATATGGCATAACTAAGATATGTTTTATGCAAGATGGGTCATGTGAGGTGTCACTGAAAAGGTTATATGTACTGAATGTATTTATTAAGTTTGTATACTTGTATCATTTCTGTATCTGGAGTAAGGAATATTGACTTTGTAACAATTACAACTAGATGTGTATTTGGGGGAACGCCCACCAGACAGTAGGCAATCAGTCTGAATGAGCCATTTAAGAAGAAGAGTAGAATTTTGGAGATACTAATCTCCCACCATCTAGAGAAGCTTCTGGAAATATTTCTTTAACACTGCAGGGTAATCTTGTGATGCCACCAGGTACAGAGTACTAGTTTAGAGACTGCTAGTATTTTTCCATTGAAAACAAAAGACTCCTGCCTTATGTAAAATCAATTTAAGTCTGGGAAGCAAGGCAATCCGGGCTCTCCATTGCTCCCTGCCCAAGAAGAAAGACCGCTAAAGACACCTGAAGGGAAAGGCAAGGGGGGAATCCAAGCTGAGACAGGGGTCCAGTCTATAAAAAGAAATAACTAGAACTCTAATCTTCAGAAACTCTGCAACATGCCTGAACTCCAGTTAGGGTGAGAAATTATATTTTGTAACCTATTTCTTGAATGTATTTAGCTTTGTTTGTGTATTTTGTTCTATTTACGTAGCAATCTGCTTTGTTCTGTTTGATATCCCTTATACCACTTAAAATTTACTTTCTGTAGTATAAACAAGAAATAAGTTTAAACATAACCCAGATTGTACAATTCTAAAGACCTTCCTTCTTATCCCATGATAACTTGCTTTACTTAAGACCCTTTGATGAGGGACCTTGTCAAAGGCTTTCTGGAAATCTAAGTATACTATATCCACTGGATCCCCCTTGTCCACATGTTTCTTGACCCCCTCAAAGAACTCTAGTAGAGTTCCCTTTACAGAAACCATGTTGACTTTCCTCTAACTAATTATGTTCATCTACGTGTCTGACAATTTTATTCTTTACTATAGTTTCAACTAATTTTCCCAGTACTGTCGTTAGATTTACTAGTCTGTAATTGCCAGTATCACCTCTAGAGCCCTTTTTAAATATTGGCATCACATTAGCTATCTTCCTCAGCCTTACGGGGAGTTAGGACACACCAGCTACCGTGGGTTATATGTTGACAGGCCCCTAGACCAACTGCAAGACTTTAGACAGTCCTGCCCTCTCTTAGAATAAACCTTTCCATGCTGATACAAACATGATTAGGTATTAAAGAAGTGATTCAATGACAGTATTTAGGCTTTGATATAAAACCCTGGCTCAACCCTAAATCAGCCTTAGGACACATCCACAATCATATTCTTATACATACTGTGCTAAAGAGCCATTGGAGATTGCTTTATATTCCAAAATAACAATACAGAACCAGGATAACTTTGTTTTTTAATAAAACATCTTTGCCCTGTTTTCTGTTGAAAGTAACAAAAACACTTTTGCATTAGCTCACAACACAGTGATCAGAGAAGATACAGATGTTATCCCTAAACCTTTGTTTTCTTAGGTATGTTTACACAAAGACATAAACTATTATCCTTTGGCCCTCTCTGTCTATGATGGAACATGCTGGCAGTTTACTCATCGGGTGTCATTATGTAAAATGTTTGTTATAAGGAAGGCCTTTAACTGCAAACTCAGATTTGATAACTAATGAGGCCCCAAACCTTTTCAAGGCAAAATAAACATGTCTCTTCTGGAGAGATAAGGTTATGTTAGCACTAAGGCCCCACGGGTAGGCATAATTCTTGTCACAAGAAAACATAATGAGTGTCATGACAGATTTACTTCCTTAAAAAGAGAACTAGGCTTGGTCAGAAATGCCAGAGTAGAGGAAAGGGAGTTAAACTAGTATCATGAGGCTCCCTATATCTGCTTTAAAGGATAAACAAAACAATCAGGCTGTCTCCCTACCCCTCCTGTCCCCTTTTCACAAGTCAAGCACTGGACTCTGTTTTCAATAGTGTTTTGCAGGTGGGGCTAAATTATAGAAAATAAAAGTCTGCATTAAACAATTCCAGAAATAATCACACTTGAATTAGCAAGGGAATGATTTGAAGAAGAGTACCCTAAGAATTGAGATAAGGGAAGAATGCATCCTGGAGCTTCCAGATACTCAGAGGCTGTGCACCACCACCTGCCACTATGCCTTTTTGTGTGGTCCTCCACCATACACCTATCACTGGTTAGTGATTAAGAAGGTATGGAATCATGGCGCCATCTCTTCCCCAGCCTCTCCACCTCCTCCCCTTGGGGACATTATGTACCACAAGGGTAACAGGGACTCAGCAACTCCTGCATCATCACCTGTCCATTATTTGGGCCATTTACAAATAAAAAAGAAGATACACCAACATCATACTCTCTGCCCCACTACACAGCTTAAAAAAAAGCCTACCAGACCGCCTCCCTTCTGGATGACTGGTATGGTAAAGATGCACTGAAATGTTCAAGTGAATTCTCTTCAGATAGATCTCTTCTTTATGTAATACAGCTCATTAGAAAAGAAGGGAATAATTTCATGAATATTTTTCCTGATTTTTTTTAAAATTCAAAATGTGAACAGCTCTTTAAAGGCCAGACACATAGAACAATTCATGAGAGTTTTGATGAAGGAATTCCCTGGTTTTTAAAATGTTGAGATCTTATCAAAATTTTCAAATTTGAAAAACTATGACAAGCTCTCTCACAGAACTATAGTTCTCTTCTAGATGTTATTTCCCTTCTAAAACAAATCATTGTTGGCCACAGTTTTGGAAAATAGACTTCAATGGTCTTTGTGCTCATAAGTCAATCAAGGGTGGAATATTCAAAAATGGCTAAATGCCTCAATATGGACGTAGATTAAATTTTGGCCAATTTTATTAACTTCGGTTTTTTAGTCATATACTCAGATAAGAAAAATTCACCCATCTGAGTGTGCATCAGAGAAACAAAAATGTGGGTCATTGTGTAGGAAAGAGGACAGCTTCATTGTGTGTAAAAAGAAGCAACAGCCTTGTCATAAATGGGTAGAGGATGAATAGCATTCTGTATCTGATAGAGCAGAATTGCTCTCATATTTTGCATTTGCTATTGTATTGTCAGATCAAGCGGTAAATGATTTAGGTAATGGGATTTCCATCACTTCACCTGGGAGGTGGTGAATTTCCCTCCAATTAGGAAATATTTCCTGATATTAAACAACAATTACCCTTTCCTCATTCCCTGAGCAACTTCATGCACAGACCTGCCATAGACTGACGATAGAATTCAGTACAAGGAGGAAGCGTTGTGAAGTTCAGCCGTTAGTTTATAGACATTCCCAGAAACTATGATGATAAAACCCACTGACTCTTCACCCATATCTGGAATCAAAGTCATTCTTCTTTTGAACTTGACAAAAAGTCGAACAATGGTTGATCCCCTTTTTATAATAGGATCAATTTTTAAAGCTGGGCATTTTTAGTTGCTTATATAAACACTACACAGCAAATCCTAATGGATAAAAATTTATGTTTTTTTTCCTACCAGCAGTTGATTTCTAAACCTGGTACTGTTATATCTACAAAGTTTTTTAAAGCTATAAGTTGACAAGTCTGCTACCACTGATTAACAGACCCTCTACCCCCTTTTTTTGGTTTCACATTTAAATTAACGTCTGAGCCATTTTCTTACTCAGAGAAGTGTTCACCATGGAAATGTGCCATCTGGGAATGCAAATAGCCCATACAATGTATTAGGCACCCACAAACAAATGAAGATTTACACAGATGTAATTAAGGACAGAAAATACAAACTTCTGTGTGGAATGGTGATTTACAGTCAAATTCACCTGCCTTGAAAACTCAGATTAGATTGCATATTGTTTGATTACCACATTGGTGTTCCAATGCAAAACGCATGCGGCTGGATCACAAAGTCCATGGGACTGTGTGAATAACTTTGGAGTCAATCTTTTAATGGAGGATTGGATTACTCTCTAACAGGGCTAATGTGTGAAAAATTAAAACGTTGGAAGAACTAATTATTTTAAAAAAAGGCAAACAAATATATTTGTTAGCAATAATTTCCGATTGCTTGGTAGTTTGACTTTGCCAAAAGTTACACAAATAATTAATGACATTGATAATTATGCAGTGTTTAACCTGTGACAAAGAGGCCATGAAGAATTTATCAGTTTGTATCGACAGAAGATAACAGAAAGTTGTGCAAAGTACATAGGAGCCAACTTGAACTCTAATATAGACCTATGCAGTTACATCCCTTTCATTGTTCATGCCAAGAGCGCAACACTGGGGATTGCCATACCAGTTTGGATAACATAAGAATTAACTCAAAACAGATCTCATACCAAAACTCTTTGCAGCTTGGAAAGTTTATCCAATTTCTCTCTCTCTTTCCCACTCCCTGTTTTTCATTTCTTTATGTTGATGTACTTTCCATTTTCAGACAGAGCCAGAAGTGGAAGTGACAAAATGATGAAGAAAAAGCTATTCTCATATTTCCAGCCTAATGGGAAGCAGGAAGTGTCAGAAATCTCACGAGAAAACAGTTTCATGAGATTTCAGGAAGTGCAGATGGTTCAGAGAGGCATCCAAATGTAAGATTAGAGCCTTCTGAGATTTCCCTATCATGAATTAATATTCAAAATGTATATCAACCAGCAGAGGTCTCTGATGTCACTTGATAAACAGCCATGGTGCACGTTGTGGGGGAGGGGGAGGGGGGATAAAAAGTGGTTAGTTTTCTTTAAAATACATTATTCTAAATGTCAAGTTCTCATAGGAATCTGAAAAAGCATTCTGTAGTTACTGACAACATTGCAAGAGTATTTTTTTAAAGAGTAAAAAGCTTCTTATTCAGTTTTACAAACGATATCTCTGGATGTGAAAAACAACCTGTAAATAATCTGAAAGAGCAATGTCCTGGGTTTGGCGTGTTTGCCTAGACTTTGAAGGCAATTTTCTTCATCAAATATTCTATAGGGTAAAGTTTGTCTGTGCAGAAACAGTTTTCTGGGGTGCTGATCTAAGTCAATTGAATGAACTCTCCCAGGAATTAAGGACTATTACAAAATTCACCATTTTCCACTCCAAGTGCAAAACACATTTCTTCAACCGTATCGCTTTGTTAACTGTATCTCTTTGTATCTCTTTGCACATAGAATTATGCAAATAATAATAATAAAAATCCCCAGAACGCCACAATAGATTCTACTGCACACACAATTCTCCCTCTCAGGCATAGGTGAGAGAGAAAACAAACTAAGGGCAACAGGTGTCAGTCTTATTGCTTCAAGCACTACTGGAAAGTCGCTCAGATATTGTGCTGATGAGTATTGCTATGGAATAGAACAGAAATGCATGTAAGGATAGTGTACATAGTAGCTACCTACAATAAACCAATTTATGTGTCTTGGAAGATGACATTACAACAGTCATAAAAACAGTGCTCTCCTTTTTGCACCCTATTGGTTGTACTCTGGTGGAAATCCAATATCCCTCACAGCTAAATAGGGATGGGACTTATGCTGAGAGACAGTGCTGGTCTCCACTACCACTGTCCACACTTGGTTCTGTTGGGAGTGCCAGATGCTGAGCTGCACTTTCTGAGCAGAACACACCTTAGGAAACAGAGTCCACGTGGGAGGAGGGAAAATGTGGCTTTATGCCATTTTTGTACCTCCCAAATTCTAGACTGGCCCGGGGTCATTGAAATCCCTATCATAACGTTCACCTGTTACCTGTAGCTCCCACATACCACAATAACTGTAGTCCCTCAATCCACAGACATTGGGCTCTGACCTCTCTCTTGGCATTCCCCTACCCAGGATGCGGAGAGGGAGTTTGTAGTGGTACAGTGATGACTATACTGCTCCTGCATGATCCCTGTCCCATGAGAATTCCGGGAGGGAAGCTTCCTGATTCCAAGCTTCAGTCCAGGCCTTTGGCATAAATTGGCTGGACTGAAGTTCAGAACCAAGAGCAAAAGGCCTGCTACTAGGAGCTTGAAAATGCTCTTAACCGATGTCAATGGGAGTGGCATTTACACCCACAGAATTCTCACTGAGTTGTGGGACTTTGTGCAGGCTAATGACTATGTACTAGAAACTACAGCATGTTTTCTAGTTACATATTTAAGTTCTTTCGCAGAAAAAAAAATCATATATAAATCTTTGGTCTTCAGACTGTTCTCAGAAGGCAATACGTGCATACGGCTACAATCTCCCATTCAACAACCTTTTCTTGAACTGCTGCTAATTATTAGACATTTTTAAAAAAATCTTTCCTCTGGTTCAGGTAATGGAATCAGAACATCCTACTCCTCTTCTGACACTCATTTCAAAATAAGATTCTTTCCCTCCCCCACACTCTCACCCTCCAAGTGAAGTGGCAGATCATTCTGGTTTGCATAGGGAAAAAGCCAGATGGCAGTAGAAATCTTTTAGTAACTGAAATGTGTTTGTGTAAAAGGTTGTTATCCCCCCCTTTCTTTAATTTACTTGGAGTACATTTTATTCTCTCTCTATGTTTACATCAGGTAAGTAGCAAAATTTGTATAAGTTTCTCAACCATTTTATGAAAATGTTGCATTTGATACCTGTGATATATGATACTGCCACAGGAAAACTAGCTAGTGTTGCTACAGAACTTCATCTTAATTATGAAAATTTTTAATTTAAATGTAGGGCTGAGCATACAAAATATAGTACAGGGCCATCTGTTAGTTTTCCATCTGGGCTCATTTGCAAAATACATTCTGTTTCCCCTCCTTACCGCCCGCTATTTATAAACTTCCCTGGAAAACAAATATGACTAATCTATGGCAAACTAAAGATAGCTATTTGAATGTGGTTTTTAATAGAAGTGGCTCTCTGGTTTGAAGTAGTAACAGACATATGTATTTGGCTTTGCATGCAGGTGTAACAACTCACGTGGCTTCTAGTTGTAGAAAAATCTACAGATTTGTAACCAACAATAAATGAAAATCCAGAAGGCTTCTCAGCACGTCATCCAGGTGAGGCCACCCTCAAGGTCATGCTGAAGAGTTAGAATTTTAAAGCCTATGGCCATGATTTTCCAAAGACACTAGCAATTTTTGGCTGCCCATCTTGAAACACCTTAGACAAGCTTATATTCAAAGGGTGGAAGCTCTATGCCTCTTGAAAGATCAGGCTCTTTTAAAGGTTCCTCAAGAGGCACCTCCCAAAAAATTAAGACACGCAAATTCATTAGTCTCTCTATAATATCTTGACCTATATCTCCAAATCATTAGAAATAATAATAATGGGTTATGTCATACCTTCTAACTGAATTCATTCTTCAAGGAGTTTAATAAATGGCATAGTATAGCCATTACAACTTACAACTGATGGCATAGTTTAGCCCAACAATCCCCATTCAGGTAGGCTACGTCTACATTGGCCCCTTTTCCGAAAGGGGCATGCTAATTTTACAGGTCGTAATAGGGAAATCCGCGGGGGATTTAAATATCCTCCGTGGCATTTAAATAAAAATGTCCGCCGCTTTTTTCCGGCTTTTAGAAAAGCCAGAAAAGAGCGTCTACACTGGCCCCGATCCTCCGGAAAAAAGCCCTTTTCCGGAGGATCTCTTATTCCTACTTCAAAGGGCTTTTTTCCGGAGGATCGGGGCCAGTGTAGACGCTCTTTTCCGGCTTTTCTAAAAGCCGGAAAAAAGCGGTGGACATTTTTATTTAAATGCCGCGGGGGATATTTAAATCCCCCGTGGATTTCCCTATTACGACCTGTAAAATTAGCATGCCCCTTTTGGAAAAGGGGCCAATGTAGACGTAGCCGTAGTGTTTTGTAGCTAAGGATCACAAAACACTTCTCTGAAGTATCTACTATCCCCCCATTTTATAGATAGGAAAACTGAGGAGGGAGCAAAATTTGTAATCTTTGTTTCTGGGGATTAAGGAAAATTACAAACACCTTCTATACTCAATTACCCTGTGAAAAGTAGTATTAGAATGTTACTATTCTGTTCTGCAATGGGTGGGACAGAGCACACCACAGGCACTGCAATTTTTACACCGCAGCTGTTGCTGATCTAAGGTGCATTTCGGGCTTTTTAAACCTCAGTGCCAGTCTTTTCCCCCTCATCTTCACTTAGCACACTTGAGATGAGCCCTTCTTTCTCTTTTCTGTGGCTTATTTCTTAATTACCTTCTCAGGCTCCAGCCATTTACATCTCCCTGGTCTCTTTTCGAGAAATGGTATTTCCCCAATATTAAGAGAGGTTTTCACGTCTGCCTTTTGGGGGATGTCTACACTGCAATGAGAAACCTGTGGCTGGCCCACAACAGCAGACTTGGGATTAGATGCTGTTTAACTGATGTGCAGACACTCAGGCTTGGGCTCTGTCTAGACTGCAGTGCTTCTCCGGGATATGCAATGCCGCATCCAAGGAACGCATTCGCTTTTCCGAAAACACTCTTTCAGCATCCCTGAAAGCCTCATTCTATGAGGCATAAGGGATGTATCGAAAGAGCAGATTTTTCTGAAATTTGGCACCATGAAGTCGTGCCAAATTTTGGAAAAGCCTCTTTCGAAAGAACATCGGAAAAAGATACACAAATTGCATACCGCAAATTGCGTGTCTTTTTCCAATTTAACTCTGCAGTCTATACGTAGCCTTGGACTGACTGGATTCTAGGATCCTGAGAGGTCAGTGAGTCCCTGCAGCCTGAGGCCAAATGTGTGCACTGCAATTAAACAAGCCTTGAAGCCAGCTCAAAGTCAGCTGGCATAGGCCAACTACAGGTGTCTAACTGCAGTGTGGACCTACCGTTACAGCCCCAGTCCTACAAGCCCTTCTTGCTCTCCTACTGAGTGTTTGGAGAGGAGAGGACTTCAGGGCCTAAAATGGGTAATTTTTTAACAATCCTGCAGAACTGCCAGTTCACTATTAATGGTTTTCTACTTACTTGCTTTCCTTTCTCCCCCTTATTGTCTTCTGTCCAACATGCTAAAAGAAGAACAATTTGTTTGAAAATGGGCATTGCTGTAGCTGTAGTTTACTGCAGGTGACTGGAACCCATGCTGAGTTCCCTTTGTTCTTTTGATTTACGATAAATTTACTTGCACAAAAACGTGCTTGAGGTGTGGACGCTCTGTGGGTTTTTGCGCAAAAACCCAGTAGTGCAGATGTAGCCCTAGTCTTCACCACATCCTCTGGCAAGGAGATCCACAAGTTGACTGTGAGCTGAGTGAAGAAAAACTTCCTTTTGTTTGTTTTAAACCTGCTGCCTATTTATTTCATTTGGTTACTCCTAGTTCTTATATTGTGGGAATAAGTAAATAACTCGTCTTTATTCACTTTTTCCACACCAGTCATGATTTTATAGACCTCTATCATACCCTTAGTCTCCTCTTTTCTAAGCTGAAAAGTCCAACTCTGTTTAATCTCTCTTTATATGAGACCCGTTCCAAACCCCTAATCCTTTTTGTTGCCCTTTTCTGAACCTTTTCCAATGCCAATAAATCTTTTTTGAGATTAGGTGATCACATCTGTACGTAGTACTCAAGACGTGGGAGTACTATGTTTTTTTATAGAGGCAATAAGATATTCTCTGTCTTATTCTTTATCCCTTTTTAAGTGATTTATAACATTCTGTGTGCTTTTTTGACTGTTGCTGCACACTGAGTGGATGTTTTCAGAGAATTCTCCGCAATGACTCCAAGATCTCTCTGAGTAGTTGTAGCTAAATTAGTCCCTGTCATATAATATGTATGGTTGGGATTATTTTTTTCCAATGTGCATTACTATACATTTATCAACATTAAATTTTATTTGCCATTTTGTTGTCCAATCACTAAGTCTGGTGAGATCTTTTTGAAGCTCTTCACAGCCTGATTTGGTCTTCTTATCTTGAACAGTTTGGTATCACCTGCAAATTTTGCCACCTCACTATTTACCCTGTTCTCTAGATCATTTATAAATAAGTAGAATAAGTTTGGTCTCAGGACAGACCCTTGGGGGACCGCACTAGTTACCTCTCTTCACTTTAAAAACTTACCGTTTATTCCTACCCTTTGTTTCATGTCTTTTAATCAGTTATCAGTCCATGAAAAGACCTTCCCTATTATCCCATGATAACTTGCTTTACTTAAGACTCTTTGGTGAGGGACCTTGTCAAAGGCTCTCTGGAAATCTAAGTATACTATATCCACTGGATCCCCCTTGTCCGCATGTTTCTTGACCCCCTCAAAGAACTCTAGTAGATTAGTAAGGCATGATTTCCCTTTACAGAAACCATGTTGACTTTCCTCTAACAAATTATGTTCATCTATGTGTATGACAATTTTATTCTTTACTATAGTTTCAACTAATTTGCCCAGTACTTACGTTAGACTTACTAGTCTGTAATTGCCAGTATCACCTCTAAAGCCCTTTTTAAATATTGGCATCACATTAGCTATCTTCCTCAGCATTGAAGACTGAAGCAAAGAATTCATTTAGCTTCTCCACAATGACTTTATCGTCTTTGAATGCTCCTTTAGTATCTCGATCATCCAAGGGCTCCACTGGTTGTTTAGCAGGATTCCTGCTTCTGATGTACTTAAAAACATTTTGCTATTACTTCTTGAGTTTTTGGCTAGCTGTTCTTCAAACTCCTTTTTGGCTTTTCTTACTATATTTTTGCACTTAATTTGACAAAGTTTATGCTCCTTTCTATTTACCTCACTATGGTGTGTCTTCCACTTTTTAAAAGATGTCTTTTTATCTGACAATGCTTCTTTTACTTAGTTGTTAAGCCATGGTGGCACTTTTTTGGTTCTCTTACTCTGTTTTTTAATTTGGAGTATACATTTAAGTTGGGCCTCTATATTCCAGTACTCTGCATACTGAGAGGAATGTCTTGGTACTTGTATGAAAGCTGAAAATACTGCATTTACTGTATATCATTTATTTTATGCAAATATAATTTAAACAAAATGAGTCTCAGAAAACAGAACGGTGTCTTTATTTCCCCCCCAGAAAGATAAACAACACTTGGAGGCCTGGCAGCTTGTGTACATTCATAACAAAACTGAAAATCAGAACAGATGCAGGAGATATAAAAGAGAGATAGCATACTGAGTTTAAATGCCTATAATACAAACATTTGTAGCTATTTACCAACAATTTAATTAAACTTTTTCCCCCTTGTGCTACCTTAATTTCAGATTGTTCAATAGCATATGGCAACTGTGGAGAACATTTTGAAAACATTTCCAAAAATGTTTTGATACTTAAGGCTAAATGATGGCTTCAAGCCACAGCCCACCCTATAGAGGTACGGGGGATGGAGGCATGCAGCAAGCACTGGGTCTGAGGTAGGCACAACACTTGGAGAAGCTTTACAGCACCATCCATTTTTGTACCCTTTCTACATACTAGAAACAAGCTCTGCCACTTCTTTCTCCTTCCCTTCCCTTAATAAAGGATCACATCTGCCGGCCAGAGGACTGGTGTCTACTTGTGGCAATTATGTCAGTCTTCTCTTCTTCTGTCATGGCACTTTAGAGCTGCGTGTTCTTGTGCTGGGAAACCAATGGCCATGGTTGTGCCGGCTTTTGTTCAATGGCACAGGACGAGGGATGGGGGACATGTGCCTGCAATCTAGTCCTTTAAAGGGGTTGCAACGAAGCAGCTCCTCATTTATATTCAAAATCAAGAAGAATCAAGAAAATCAGAGCAAATTGTGACCAGTTAGATGCAAGCTTTGGTAAAACAACACCAGCCTTTGAACTGGGGAAGGAACCTCTTTAAGTTAGATTTTTTTGGTTGATTTGTCAAATGAAAATGATCCGTGTAATTTAGCATAGGATAATATATCATTGGGAGAACTGGATTAAAGCTGCTGATCTCTGTTTATCAGATGAATGATCTCACTTGACTGCTCTGGAGATATAGCCTCTCTTCAGTTCAGTAGGGCATGTCTAGCAGCGGATATAGGGTAGGGCAAGTGGGGCGGCTGCCCCAGGCCCCGTGCTTCAATAGGCCCCGCACCCT